AGGAGGGGAAAAAAGGAAAAGTGGCCTATACTCACTTGCAATGGTTCATTGTAGAAATTCTTCCCCTCAGTTTGGGGGTTCTGCATCATCCGAATCAAACAACTGCAGATCAAAAACATTTGTAACATTAAATCACATATTGTCAATAACCTAGAGGTGAGCTGAAGCAGGAAGATTACATGTAAATCCTATGCTATTTTTAAAAGTTATTTATTTATTTATTTGATACAGGGTCTCACTACGCAGCTTGAACTCATAGATTCTCCTATCTCAGCCTCCCCAGAGTTGGGATTACAGATATCTGCCATCACGCCTAGTTTTGGTGTCTGCCTCGGTGGGCCCCAGGTGGGGTTGGCACAGTATGTGGTACTGGGGATGAAACCTGGGTCCTTGTGCTTGCCAGGCAGGTGCTTAGAACACCGAGCTCTCTCCCCAGCCCTCTTATGCTATTTTTATTAGGATTTGAACATCCTTAGATTCTGATACCGACAGGTAGACAGGCAGGGGGCCAGGGAAGCAACTGTCCACAGATAGTGAGGGATAACTTCCATGGGAAGTCAGTGTCCACAGGTATCCTTCGTCCCTAAAGAGCTTCAGCATGCATACCTTTCAAGTTCAGCATTTGTGGCCAGGTGTGATAGTGTTGCAGGCAGCCTGAGTTAGATAGAAATATTGTAGGTAGTTAGACAGGGACAGGCCCTCGAAGGAGATGACAAAGACCAAACACCTTACTGGGGAGATGTTCCTGGTGTGAGCCAGACCTAAAGATCAAAAAATGCTGACCTCCCTAAAGTTGGCATCCAGGATTGCTCATTAGTCAGGAAGAATCATTGACTGAAGGCTACCAGATAAGGTCCCGATTTACATTCATGCCCACTTGCTATGTGACTCGCTACCCCATTTGGTCCTAGGCCTAATAAATTTTACCTGAGCAATGGTGCTTGTAATCCCATTGGTTGACCATAGTTTTGTCCCACCCTGTATCCGCCTAAATGGGACCCCTTTGTCTCTACCTTAGCCCCGCATGATTTTGGCCTATAAAAATAACCTGGAGGAGACAGCTTCCTGGGCAACCCACTCGGGACCGCCTTCTGTCCCTCTCCGACAGAAGCTTTCCTTTCCAATAAAGTTTTACCTTCAGCCTCTGTTTGTTCCTAAAATTCATTCTTCGGTTTTAGAGAACACAAACTCATCCAGGCCAGGTTGGGAATTTCACGTCCCTATATCAATGGTGCACACCTATAATCCCAGCACTCAGGAGACTGAGGCAAGAAGATCGTTTTGAGTTCAAGGCAAGTCTGGGGCATGCAGTGTGTATCCAAAGCCAGCTTGAACTGCAGAGTTAAATCCTGTCTCAAAAAAGACCAAAATAGGGCCAGGGATATAGCTCAGCAGCGTAAGTGCCTGGCAAGCACAAGGCCCCAAGTTCAATCCCTGGTACCACAAGGAAAGAAAGAAAAGGAAAAAAAAAAAAGACCAAAATAAATCAATAAATAAACATCACTTTTGTAAAGGTAAATTTGCCTGTAATGAAGTACACACCTATCTATACCATGAGCTTTGACAGTTGCCTCGAACCAGTGTAGCCACAATCTCTAATGGCTGCTCTTGGCCCCTTCAAGGTCATGGGGTGTGCAGTTACCTTGGGAGGGTCCAGTACATTTGTAATGGCCCTGCTTGAGGTCATTGCTTGCACAGGGCATTTCTCTTAGCTTCTGGAGCAACATCAAGGTGGTCTGAAGTTCCTTGACCCCAGGAAGGTCACCCTCTGAGCTTACACAGCCGCTTGCTGCAGGCCCAGAAGCTGTAGTGACCCCAGGTGCATCTGATAGCTGTGCGTGTGACTCTCTGCCCTCCAGCAGGTTAGCGGCTCCTTTGAGAGTAGCATGCTACCTGGGACGCAAGGAATCACTCTCTGAGGGGGATTTGCTGTCTGCTGTGGTAAAGCCAGTCTGAGCATGCCCAGTTTCTGCCTGCGGACCTGATCCATCAATGGGCAAGGTCAGGTGTGCATGGGGCACAGATGACTCCTAGACAAATTGGGTATTTTCCTTCCCCTGGAGATGGAGGGAGCATCACAGTATTCAAAGACCTACAGCGAAGGGTAGCGATACCCATGGGTGAAAGTAAAGGTGTCTGTAGACAGCTTGACACCTCAGTTACAACTGTTTCATTGAGCAGCTTGGGGGACCATTAGGCTCATGGAAGATCCCAAAGCCATGAGAACAGAAGCCTGCATGGGTTGAGGGTGTCCACCGACACCTTCTTGCAAGGTGGGTAAGCCAGTGCCATGGCGTGGGTGGTTCAGATGCAGTTACAACACTAAGCACCTGAGCCTGTCATTTATCTGGACTAAGGTGTAGGGTGAGTTAGACCAGTCAGGGCCAGGCAGTTACCATAGCACTTGCTCTGGTGGCCCCAGGAGAAGGAATGCACCCCAAGGATTCAGCTGGGTCCTAAAGAGGAAGGAATTTCCAAGAAGTTGGACCTCCATGAGGTCAGTCTGTCCTGAGGCCTAGCAGTCACTTTGCCTCGTTCAGTTTCAGGAAGTTCTGGTAGGTGTTTAGTCCGCAGTCAGGGGGAAGACTTCCCTGAGTCGCATGGTACTTTATTTATTTATTTATTTATTTTTTTCTCTTTTCAAAGTTTTATTGATAAACATATAGCAATGAGACAGTTTCAAATCAAATCGAAAGTACAGTTTCAACAAATAATACACTGCATATATTCTT